AGAAGCCAAATTAATAATAAGTATGTTAATTAAAATCCATCGATTTGGTCCTTGAATATTAGTGAAAAACAATATATACAGGAAATATGAAAACTCAGAAAAAATTAAATTCTAGCTAACGAAAAGGGCTGTAGTTGAAATAGATTAGCAAGGTAATGCCTTTAAAATTTATCATTTTGCTTATGGAATAACCTTCAAGCGTTTTAATAAAGTATAAAAATCTTACAGTCCAGTCAATGCAATGAGATGAGAAAACGAATCGTCTTCAATTGATTTTATTTTGTTATTCCATAAAGTTCTACAAGTAATATGTTAACATAGTTATAGAGTTTAACAAATACTGAACGATTATTAAGAATTTTAATAGTATTACAAAAAGATCTATAATTTATCTTGTAGGCTATTGATTTTGAGAAGTACGGGGAACAATATACGATTTAATTCCATTTGCATTGGTAAACAGAATATTATTATATAATAAAAATTGCATCACACCATCATAATTACAAACTTACAAATAAGTCAAGCTGGAAAGGCCAGCAAGCATTTTTTTTGTGATGACGGTGAGAGCGTTATCTTCCAAATTTCTTACAATATAAGTCAGTAATAATTATAATAATAATGAAAAAACTTAACAATGTATAGTTCTTTGTAAATATACCCTTACAATTCTTTTTTTTATTATTAGAAAAAATACATTGCAGCTAAAAAAACACATAAATTAAAAAAAATTGTTATCTAGAGAATATTTACGTCTATTCTATAGCTTTTTCTTACTAACTTAAAATAATGATATACTGGAAATCTTACATGGACGTTACAGAAGTGTGTAATCTCGCTCCCAACGGTGGAAAAGTATCCAAGTTGCACCCTCTTAAATCCCTTTAAAATATGTATGCATTTTCGTAAAGCACGTTATAACATCAAGTATGATGCTAAAAGTTGTACTGAGTAGATACTTAATTATAGTCAAAAGTATATTATTAATTAAAAAATTTACTAGGTCTTCTGACTTTAAATTAAGATCATTAATATTATGGTCTTATGGGTTTTACGTTTACAATATGTCAGCAATATATAAGGCAGGCATTGGTGCTTACATTTCTTCATGGTCGGTGTATACCCCTGGACAATGAGATTCTTGTGTATACTGCGACGAACACACCCATCTCCCTTGAAAAATTAATATGAGTACGGCAAAGAGGCAGCCCACACGCGGCATACTGACAATGATTACCACTTTTGACATTAACTGCTCTTAAATACTTGCAGAATAGTGTTTATGTTAACTGATTAAATTTTTGCGTTCGTTTCTTCATATATTAACGCAATCTATCACCTCTTCCCTAGTTAATCTGTCTAGAAAAAACGCAAAACTCTCTAATATGTTTAGTTTAATGCTATGAATAATGAAGTAATATTATAAAAACCTTAACCAAATAATAAAAATTATATTTTACTTATTCATAAAAAAATACTTCTTCGAGTTTATAACTTCGTTTTTTTGTTGAAGAAGAAATAAAGTAATTCAATTTTTATTTATAAAATAAATAATATTTATTTTTTTTACTTTTTCTAGTTTTCATAAATATTTATAAATAGATATTATTTTAACTTATTATTATTTTTTGTACCACTAAAAATATACACGTAATATTTTATTTTTACATATATATAAGTTTTTTACCAGAATTTTATTAGAAAAAATGAAAATAATAAAGAAGATATATAAAATATTTTTCATTTTAAATAATCACTTTAATAGTGCTTTGATCACAAATTCCTTTAAGTTCGTTGTATTTAATGAATAGTTGTATTCATTAATTTTAATTTCCTTTATAATAACAAATCTTTATTATAATTAATTTCTTTTTGGGTTATAATAATAATTATATATTGAATTTTTTAAAAAAGTTTATACATCACAAAAAATTTCAAAATAATAATATCAATATAATGAAGTACCACATGAAAGTCAAGAACTTTTAAGAATGCACTTATAATATATGTATATTAATATACCATATTTATTTTATATGTAAACAAAATTATAACAATTTTTATTACCCATGATTTTAACGAGAAATACTGGGAATTATACATAATAAAAGTGAAATATTAGTAATTCCTACTTTTTTTTGAAGAGATGTAGTAAATATAATTTTTTATTTTGATTTCATTAACAAAATGTATACATTTTCTGTAGTTTACTTGATATTTCTATAGATTTATTATATTAAGTTTTAATACTTTGTATCAATCATTTATAGTTTATTTTAATAAAAATAATCGTAGCACGGGCTGGGAATACCAGATGATAATGCTATTTTATATTGAATTCCTTTTTAATTTCACTAAAAATAACTGGATGGCTGGTGTTTAGTTGAAGTTTAAAATAAACATTCCCATTTACAAATTGAACGATCAGGTAAGTTTTATAACGAGCTAAATATAATATTTTTATAAACGTATTATATTGCGATATACGGCTTATTTTTTCTAGATATTTAATTAGTATTATTACTATAACAGGGGTTTTACAGGGCCCCCTAGGGTTGTGGGCTGTTGTAGGAGTTTTGAGGGTTTGAATGCTTTACAAAAAATGTCATTACAAACGCACTCCCGTGCCTTGTTAGTCGGTTTCTTCAGATGAAATTATTGAGACAGGCCTCATTATCATTAAAATATTTTATAGTTAGCGAAAGTCTATAAACCTATTTATATACTATAAGATTTCAAACTATTTTTACAGTTCTATTCTGTAAGTAAAATAAACACCATTATTACCCAATAAAGCTAATATTAGAAACAACCATGAAACTAAACTTCTGTCATGTAGCTTATTTTTTTAGACAAAAGTTATAGTTTTTTTAATTTTTTTTTTTTAACTTATAGTTTAAGTTAGAATTATGTAAAATTATTTAATCCTGGTTATAGGATTTCAAATATCTGGTTACTGTAACCTAAGTGAATTTTTCTTTTTAGGTTTGAAAGGAACTTTAGTTTCTTAGTAATTCAGGTGTATAACACTTTACGAAATAATTGTATATTGTTAGTTACGCGAACACTTAGAGTTTCGTTGAATGTCTCGAAAGTTTAGCTTACGTCTTTATTTAAATTATTTTGTTTTACTAAGTATTTTGAACTTATAATTTCAATATAAAAAGCCTATTTTATTTTAGAGTTATAAATATGCAAACCATACTTAATTTTTAAAATTATTACAAATTTGAAAAAGTAACGTCAGTTTTTTTTTTTTGGTTTTTTATACCTGCCAAATATATTGTACGACAGAGTATATAGATATAAAAGATCTTATAAAACAGATAAATATAAGTGCATCTAAACGGAAGTATAAAAAAGTCAGACTAAAGGGTATTAAATTGCAGAACACTTGAAGTGCTAAGAAAAAAAGTAATTCAAAGGAATGGAAGGTAGCCAATTAGTAACTTATTTACACTACTACTGATAGATATACCAACAGAAGTATGTAAAACGGTTTACTTGACCGCAAAATCTACCTTACAAGATTTTAGAGTTTGAATTATATATAAAATATATATCTGATAACATAGATTGTAATAAATAAAGGGTGAAGATTACATTTTATTTTAAGTAAAAAAGATAAACGGATGGACCCTGGAAAAAGGCCTACAAAGGTTCGAATTTTTCTTTACAGTTTAACTTAAACCCAGACCGAAAATAAACAAAATAATTAACCTCGTGACTTGTGACCTAAGAATCTTCTCTGTGTCATGTGCTATCGTCTCATGTTGTTTATCAACGGTCATGTTGTTAACCCTTCCTATTGAGACTGAAAAAATGTGAAGGGTTTGTCCATTTCCTATAAAAGGCTCTATTACCCTCGGGATACTTAAAGCGTCAAATATCGGACTTCAACAATAGTAGGAGTATCAACCACTAGAAATCCCTAAAAATATCTAAAGGTTCCTCATTTGATATGCAATCTTGCAGACCTTATCCCTTGACCCACTCGCGTTACATGGGCATAAGGTTGCCTCAACGCCAGTGGCAACTTTCCACAAGGGTCATCGGGTGAATTCACCCTACGCATGTTTCAGAAAAGTAAAGTGTTTCGGGCAAACTCTTGTTGGTTACCTCTGCTTAAAAAGCCTGCATTACATCTCTGTTGAGCTGTAAATCAATCGTAACAAGCTCAAATATGCGTGAGTGGCATTACTATCAAGAGCCAAACCAAAGTTATTATAGACGTTTGTCTGGCATCAATAAAAAATTCATTGGGGTCAAAAACGTTTATATGCATTCCAATAAATAATTTAGATTTTAGATAGTTATTAGCTTCTCCCCTCGTGCTAGTCTTTTAAATTTTGATATTGGACCGGCCAAGAAAAAAGTAGTAGCTAAAATCATTGACAGTAGCTTGGAATACATTAAATTTTCCTTTATGCTTATTAGGCCGTGCTACAAAGGCGCCATTTCTTCAAAATCCCCTTTAACTTTAAACGTTTTTTTAGGCGTCACCTCAAATATCTTGACTACTTTATACAATTGTTCTCATTTTCATGTATAGTGACTCCTTTTGGGTATACAACTGAAATAAACTTATTACCTTTATAATTTTTATTTCTAGGAACAGATTCAAAAAGGTTGATATATGACCTCTTTTTAAAAATGATCTCTAAACATTTTTAAAATTCTTCATTGAGTTTAAATCGTCTATTAACGATTTCAGTCGTACACCTAAAAGGAGGCTTTAAATATGATTTATCAAGCAAGGAAAAGAAAGTTGAAAGCATATAACTCTTGAAAAAAAAAGAAAGATCATTAGTGGCACTCGCTTTGCTGAAAAGGGGTTAACTTTAAAGTAGAAATATTAACTCTTAAGATTTCTGAGTATGTTCGAATGTACTCATCTACGATAATGTCCAAAGCGGCGCTTTTTTACCACCAATTCCATGGATAAGACCTTATTCAAGCTAATCTCTAAAGGGGGCTATTTCTTTTATTATAATGTACTATGTTAATTAAGGGTTTGCGGTATTTCTAAATAGTTGATCTTTAAATCTTCAGGAAGAAATGGTAATTCCAGGTCTCTCCGAATTGAACACAGGCACACTCAGAAACAGACCGGGGAGGGAATGCACATTAGTACCCTGATTCGAAAGAAATTCTCTTAATACTATCTCAAAAATAACCGTATAAAACCAAAAATTACAATCAGGAGAGTAAAAACCATTAAAAATGTTACGATCAATCGTTATAACCTTTTCTCGAAGAACTGACGTTTGAGAATAGTAGAAGGCAGCCTTCTAAACATTCATCTCAAAAATGCTCCTTGCCAGTCAATGAGATGAGGGCCAAAAAAAAAAAGGGTAAGTTAAACTCTACACGGTAACCGGTTAAGGAATACATAGATACCAGCCGCTTAAGAACATTTTAAATTTTTTCTCTTTCCCGCAGCACTAGCCGGTTTCCCTGAAACCATGGTGTAGCCATAATTATTACCCGGTAGTAGGCTTCCCGAGGTGTGCGGATGATAACCACTCTCGTAAGGTCTGAAGCAATTCAGAAGGGTACTGTAAGAGTTCATCTTGTCAGCACCAAAATTTTTGTAAGGCTAGTTATTGTTCTAAATGAGGGAAGTGATAGCATTGCAGTTAGGTTCAAGATTACAGAAAAATAAACTGTGGGTACTTTCAAAGCCGGAACTTTGGAGGAAAAGGACGTCAATAAAAATTGAATCAATAACTGTTCCAAAAATTTGAATGGGTATGCCTGCTTTTGAAAATGTGAAGAAGGCTAAGATTATTCATCAATTTTGTATATAACTTTAAACTTTTCATTATTATATAAAAATTCTTTATCAATAAAACTTTGGAGGTAAAAAAACCTCTATATTTTTATCACTTAGAAAGCAATTAAGTGCTGAAAATACTTATATAATTTTCCATTAATACAATGACTTTCGTACTTGATTTTATATTGGTTGGGGACAAATTTTCAAAAGGAACAGAAGAAATCGAAAGAGTTATAAAATCGCATAAAATACAAAACAGTTGTAAATAAAGAACATTATCAAGTCTGCCTCCCTTATTAACTTAATAAAAATAGAAATACAACCAAAGTAAGTACAAGTTGACGGTAAAAGGCCCGCTGGCAAATCGCTGACCTTAAAAAAGTGATTTGCAATGCGCACCATATCTGATCTATTTAACAGAGGCTGTCTTCTTAAACTGAAAGTCAACTAACCAATATTAACTTACCAAACTCTTCAATATTAAAGAAAAAAAGCAGTCATTAGGCCATCAATAACCCTTCTCAATAAAGTCAAATTTTAAATAGAAGAAACATGAACCAAGAGTGCTTTCTAAATAAATCGGATAATTCTCCTTCAAAGAAGACCTGGAGAGAAACAAATAAGATATAAGTGTCTAAAGAAGGAAGAACAAATGCCAAAAAGTGTAGTGATACAAAAAGTCTATACCACCTTAATTTTTACAAACTGTTGCCTACCAGTAGGAAATAAATTAATAAAAACTAGCGTTAATAACCAGTTCACTTCCCGATAATGTATGTATACGTGAAAAGGTCAGTTAGAATATAGCATAAGTTTAAGTGCAAGTTCCTTTAGGAAGCGAGTGTTTTAGTAAGACGAAAACAAACGGGATTGATAGAAAAGTTAAACGGTTGGTTTCCTTAGTATTCCTTGTTAAAACACTTATCTTGACAACATATTTTGCAATAGAACAGGCAAAATCCAAGAATCGTATAAAATTTAAAATTGTCGTCAAGTTAAATAAACAAAAAAAATTCATGTGATTTTTATTCAAAGTAACAAGTCTAAAAATTATAGGTAAAATAACAAGTATTTTAATAAAAAAGGATATATTATAGATTGAATAAGTAATAGAATAACTAACCAAACAATAAAAAATATATTCAAAAATAAAAAACTAAAACAGCGAAATGAACAAAAAAAAACAAAAAGAGAAAGCTGGAGACCAAAAAGACCAAGTATCTCACTTTATAGTACTGGCTTACTACAGATGTGATTACGATCGATTGCTACTTAATTTACTGGAATTGAGAGTGCTAAAATCACAAGTTCCTTAACAATTCTATGCGCCATTAACGAGAATAGGTGCGCGTTATCATAGCTAAATAGTATATAGTAAAAAGACGTAAAAGCAAAGTAATAAAAATATTAAATGAAAAGGGATGGATTAGTTTCCATTCCATAATATTATAAATATATATATATATATATATATATATATATATATATATATATAATTAAGTTAATATAATAAACTATAACCTTAGCCATAGCTTTCCCCTCTTTTACTAGGCCTAAGAAATGTTTTGACCGGGAGTACTCGGCTACCAAGGAGGAGTCCTAATTAAGAGGCTGTCAAATAAGATAAACTTTAATAGGCTGGAGGGTACATTTCCTATGTAGTTAGCTGTTGTGCCCAAAGCAAGGGGGTACCCACCATTTTTAGAAGGCGATTATGTAGTATTTGTAGTCGATGAATATTTTTGCTTAAAAAATAGGCAAGTGATAGTCCTAGATCACCAGAGGGTGAATATCTACAGAATCTCTTTTAAATGCAATTTGCTTTTCCTGCATAGTAAGGGGTCTAACACGGCTGTAGCTTTCTTGGTTTTAAAACGACTTAAAAAAGGTGTGGAGTTCAGCTTAGTCCTTCGTCACGCACAATTTCGAGGTATCTAACCTTCTTAGATCGAGGAATGAGAGTTTACTAGGGATCTAGGGAAGTATCCTTCCCTTTGTTATAATTACAAAGCTACTTTTCAGCTAGTTAATTATAAGCCTCCCTGTTAAAAACCATGTCTCAACTACTGTCAACTGAGACTGTACGTTTTTAAACACCAGACAGGCGGATTTTGGACTATAATATAAGGCTGTGTTGTCAACGTAGTGAGCCTAGTTTCTATTTTTTTCGGCAGTTGTGGCATGTCGCGCATGTAGATAGAAAAAAGGAAAGGGGGGTACTAAGAAACCTTGTGGAACACCCACCTTTGATTGTCTAAAAGCGGACTCCAATGAATTTACTTTAGCAGTTAAGGTTCTATTCTTTAGGTATGAGGTGTACCACCATGTTCAAGTAAAAAAGTAAGTTAGATCGTCGTGCCCTCTTTTACCGAAGAGTCTTCTCAATATCTAAAAGGACACACGTGTTACTTTTCTTTTTTTAAGAAAGCTTTTGTAGCTCCTCTAGTAAGCCTAACTATCTATTGAATTGTGGAGTACTTAATTCGAAAACCAAAAATTAAAAATTAGACAGGGCGCACTTGCCATCCACAAATTCTTATAATTTACAAGGGACCCCGCCTCTATCTCATTTTCTAGGCCGGACAACAAGCTTTTTGGGTGATAATCTTTAATAAAACAGTTAGAGGAACTAATTATAGGAATGAAAATTACGCAAGCCAATTTCCACAGTTTGGGGAAGTAAGCTGTCTTGAATATTTGAATTAATTAATCTTTAAATCATAGAGATAGCTCGTGGAATTAAGTTCTTAAGCATTATCAGGGCGAGGCTTTTCTAGTATTAAGGGATTGGATAATAGTTTTAAGATTCTGCACTGGTGATAAGCTTAACGTTGTTACATATGTTAGATCCCAAATAGTTAGTAGCTATGGTGGACACATACTTAAAGCGGTGCGCATTCTAATCGATATGAGTAGGCTTTTAGTGCGTCAGCAAATGCCTCTACTATTTCGGAGGACATGGTAGCTGAGGCGTCCAGCACCATGGATGAGCGGTGTTATGCCCCTAGTCTCAGTAGTTCGAATGGTTCTTGTTAATTTCCTTCAAGAATTATTCTCTGGCCCAAAAGTCCCTAATTTTTTTAACCAGCTTTTGTTAAGCCAGACTTTCAAATTCTCCTTAATTTCAAATATTGATTGTAAAGTTTTTTATCGCTTGGAAACAAGGGTTCGGATATCTTGCTTTCTCCTTCTCTTAATCTGAGATCTAATGTGGTCCATAGGGTTGTATTGTTGGTTTTTGTGGGCCTACTATAGTTCGCTTTTATAGCTCCTTCCATTTGCACAACAGCCGTGTCTAAATCAAGTATATTCCCTATGAAGTGCTCCATGGAGTCTATGCTTGTCTAACTATTCCAGAAATGGGCGCCAAACTGGTTACTTTTTCAACCCAGGTTACCGAGAGTGACTTATTACCTATCTCTATGAAGATGGGGTTAGGATCCGAAGAGAGTACAAATAGCGTTATTTGACGATAACAGGTACTTAAATAATTTATGATACTGTGGTGATTTAAATCAATAACAATTAAATATTTTTGTCGGTCCTTTCGGCAAACCTTATTTCGTTGTCGCTCTTCCCCCTGCTATTCCACAAAGGGTTTTTGAAGTTTAAATCTCGAGACATAAAACCCCCCGCTATTTTAGGCATTACCTTGTCGAAAGATTTGTAAGGGGCAGTAATATTGACTATCCCAATGTAACAGAGCTCTATATTTACGCAAACAGCTTCTAAAGTTACCTCAATAAAATAGAACGCTTGGTGGGTAATGTTTCATCCAGTTAAGGCAGCTACGCCTTCTCCTCCAGTATCTTTCCTGTCGCGTCTGTGAACAGAATAGTTAGGTGCCTTAAACGGTTACCTTCCTTCAGATGTGTACAAGATGTAAAATTTTGTCCAGGTTCATACCGGCAATAAATTTCTGAGTTGGCCTCCATTTAGATAATCTAAAAATTATTTAATTTCTAAATTAGCTCCTTAATGGATCGCATTGGTAAGTGTTGCTACAAAGTTATTCTTCAGGTCGTTTAGGGAGCTGTATTAGTTGCTTCAGGTTCTAAGTTCTGTTTAGTAGGCGGTGCGTAGCTTATATTTTTTTTAAATGAAAACTTTCAGAATTCTTGAAAGCTTTTTTAGTTGAAAAATTATTATGAATTTTTCTCAGAGGAGCATATTTCTGGTGGTTCTGCATCCTCTACAATTTGAAACATGCATTCTTGGGCAATTAGGGCAGGTAGGCTTTTCATTTTCGCTTTTAGTGCAGGAAGTCGAGCCGTGAGGGCCATTGCATTTAGCGCATTTGTAGCTTGGCTTAGAGTATTACTCTGTATGTCCAAATAGTTGACATCTATAGCACTGACCAATCCACACCCCCTCTTCTTTTCAGGGAATCAACCGACACGGCGATACACCCATTACTTTTCAAATTTAAGCTCTTGTTTCCCATTTTAGACGCCTTGACGGGTAGGGTAGGGGTTGTCTTTCCTTTTCAAAGGAACGCATTTTAATTACTTCAGACGGGTTGAACCGTTAAAACAGAAGAACCGCCTTTACAGTTTTTGTATCCATTTCTGGGAAAATATCTGGAATAACCACTTTAAACTCATTTTCAATAGGCAGCTTGTATCCGCAGAGGTTCCAACCTCCAAACTTTCCTCGTCTAACGGTCACCTTAGCTTATGTAACCCTCCTCTAACTTACTTTTTTTCCTTTAATACACCCATTTACTAAGATTTGTTCCTCTAGGTCTACAATTCTCGAAACTCATTTTAAAATCCCTCGTTTAAGCTAAGATCTTAGGGCTTTGTTTACCGATTAATATTGTAATAATCCTTGTAAAGCATTGAGCGCACCACTGTCTAATTTGGTGCCCAAAGTGTATTTTATCATTACTCAGTTTGGAACATATTTGCTGTATACATGTAATCAATTATTTGTCTAGCTTGGCGACGCTATTAAACGCAAGATTCCGGACACTGGAAAGAACACCATGTTCAGAATATCAGAAATTCTCTCTGCTGCACGCTAACTATAGCTTATATAAATGATTTTACTTGATCTCCGCAACATTATATATATTTTTTACTTATATTTTAACAATCAAGAAGCAAAGGTTTATAAATATAAAAAAATAACTTTTACGATAATACTAAAATGGATAGTAAACGCCCAAAGAGAGCTAACAGAACGGCCACGGCTAGTGGACAATTTTCTAATAAAAGTGTTTAAAATACAATATGAAAATGTTACTCGTTTAATAACCCCTTAAAGAAGTATAGTTGTTTTTAAAAAAAAAATTGTTTGAGTTAACAAGACTTTTTGTCTTCTGTAGCACTATGTTTAAATAATGTTGTATTTGATAAAAATAGTTTTTCATGAAACGAATGTTTTTCAAAACGCCCTATCCCTTTTTAAGTAGAATATATTAAAAACTGTGGTTTAAAATGACAGTAATTTGTCATAAGTTTTGAGAGCAGTCTGAAACTATAAATGCTTGTTTCAACACACTTGTCAACCCCTTTTTTCTTGATATATAAATCTTAAAGCCTATTTGCCAGGTGGAAGTAAAAGTGTGGGATGAAGCGAGTAAATAATAAGTAACCATTACGGTTAAACAGTATTATGAATTGCCGTGTTAAAGTTAGCAAAATTATTTAAATACATAACACTACGTTTTCACACTTTTTTCACTGGCATATTTTTTAATTCTTATAGCAGTGTAAGTGAATAAATTATTCTGTAAACCACCTCATGTGCTTAATATATTCCAGAACATTTCCAATATAAAATAAGTTGACGCTTCTATGTAATGGGTATTTATTTATAACCAAACTTTCAAGTAGAAAAATAATTAAAAATATTTTATAAAATACTAAACGATCTCATGAAGCTTATTACTATCAGAATGCTAATTAATTTAATAATTTAGACGTTCTCGGCATGGTACGCTTATCATCCGTAAAGACTTCAAGCTTAATATAATTTTAACTTTAAAAAAGAATATTGAATTAGCCTATTTTTTTTTTAATGAATACGAATATTAAAAAATTCACACATATATAAGGAAGTGAAACAAAGAATCTTCTACGATCCAAGGTTTTATTTTCTAACATTAAGAAAAAAATATACACAACAAAAAAAGAATTTTTCTAAAAATAAATACTAACCAGTTAATGTTAAAAAGAAAACCTTACAATGCTAACAAGCTAGAGAGACTCGCAAACGTTTGGGTGCTAATATAGTTAAGTTCATTTTCTTGTAAAAGTCTTAATGCAATTATTAATTTAAAAGTTTTAAAATAAAATTTATAACAGTAAGCATGAAGGCACATGCTTTACCTTCATGAGTATGAGATGACATACGGGCTTTTTACTTTTAAAAAATACTAAATTTTCGCACTGATAAAGGATAATTTTGATCTAATTTTATTTAGTTTCCATTATAAAAATGTAAAACAATAAATAAGAATTATTACTTTTAATTCGTGTTTCGCTATACTCTTCTTGGTGTTATAATAATTATAAGCCGTAAAAGCTGATAGGATAGTTCAGCTTTTACAAAAACTGTACAATCTCATTTAGAGTATATTACTAATTTAAAATATA